GGGGGGGGGGGGGGGGGGGGGGGGGGGGGGGGGAGTTGGGGAGGGTAGGAAGGTGGATCGAAGGGTAAAGGCACCAGTGCTGCAAAAGTCCGGGTCTGTTCATAAATAAAACTAAAGTAACTCTAGGTAGCAGTGTGTTACAACTCTGTTCCTAGTTTTTGCATAGTTCCAAGAAGGGAGAGCCCTCCCTCATCCCTCGTCGCCCCTCTCCCAGGAGTCCGTTTTAGATTCATCTGTGATCGTGTCTGTTCTCTGTTTCAAAATTTCTCCCAAAGCCCTCACAGTGTTAAAAGAACATAGGTAGAACCACTGTAAAGTTTCATTGATTGCTTCCATAGATTTATATATGAGAAATATGCAAAATAGAAATTTTTGAAGAACTTGTCAACTACGGTTATGGCTGAAAGGAAATGCGATGATGAAACAACAGCTGATTGGAATTTTGCCAAAATATATTTTGTTATGAGCAAAAAAAAAAAAAAAAATTGCAGAATCAGATGAGCGAGGTGGTTGCAGTAATTTTGAGACATTTCTACGATCTCATATCGACGAAATACGTCAAAGTCATGAAAGTAAATTCTATGAGGTAACTTCTGAAGGCTTACGTCACTTTCAAAGTGTTTTCACCAGCAGGGGAAATATGCACACTTAGTTACTTGTTTATATGCTGTGTAACAGCAGTGCAAAACGCATATTGACACGGGACTGTCTGTGTGTGTTTGTGTGTGTGTGCGGGTGTGTGTGTATGGGTGTGGGTGGGTGTGTGTGGGTGGGTGGGTGTGTGTGTGTGCACAGCAACTTGTTTATTTACTACTCTTTGCGTTCTTATTTACTGCCAAATCTGACGCTTTCAGCTCAGGTCTGTGACCGGTTTGAGCTGTGATCGTCAGTTATGGCGGTAAATAAGTGAGCAAAAAAAAAGACAGAAGGAAATCAGTGCTTCTGCCATTCATTAATTCATTTTGGTTGCACATTTTTGGTGATATCGTTTGTGGTTTGAGTTTGAACAATCTTCGTTTTTAAAAAAAAAAAAAAACTGCCAGAAAGGTAATTCATCGAAAGCCTTGCAGTTTGGTGCTTATTGCTAGCAAAATAGCATCATTTGAGCCACTTTTGAATATTTTTTGTATCACAAAGAACTGTGGTTTTTGGATTGTCTGTTTACTTCCTCCCACATTCTTTGCTGTGTTTTTCTGAATTACCGCTTCGGGTAGTATTGAGAGGCTTTTAAAGGCATAGATTGGGAGGCAGTCGAGCTTTTTTTGTTTTTGCCATTTTCGAATTTTGTTAACCATTGACTACCGGCCCTTGCATGCTCTACAGCTAGAACTTGGAGTTTTTTCGATCTGTGTTTACATACATACAACAAGCTGCTACACAT